TTGATTGAGAGCCTTGCTGGGTAAAGTAGCCTTGGTTGTAGGCCTCTGGTTCTCATTATTTGGAATATTTCTTGCCATTGTCTTCTTGCTTGGAGTGTTTCCATTGAGAAGTCAGTAGCTAACCTTATTGGGGCTCCCTTGTATGTTACTTCTTTTTTCTCCCTTGCTGCCTTTAAGATTCTCTCTTTGTCTTGGAATTTTGCCATCTTAATGATAATGTGTCTTGAAGTGGGCCTCTTTGGATTCCTCTTGATTGGGACTCTCTGTGATTCCTGGATTTGTGTGACTTTTTCTCTCATCAAATTAGGGAAATTTTCTCTCATTACTCTTTCAAATACATTTTCTATCCCTTGTTCTTCTTCTTTTCCTTCTGGTATTCCTATTATTCAGATATTATTACGTTTCATATTGTCTTGCATTTCTCTTAATCCCTCTTCATTCTTTCTGAGCCTCTTTTCCTTTTCTTGTTTTTTCTGTGAGATGCTTTCTACTTTGTCCTCCAACTCACTAATCCTATCCTCTGTCTCATCTACCCTATTTTTAATGCTTTCTACTGTGTTTTTTAATTCAGAAATTGCATTCTTCATTTCCTCTTGGCCCTTGCTCATATTTTCTATTTTCTTTTTCATGTTGATGTAGTTTGCAGAGAAATCATTGTAGTTCCCCTGTAGTTTCTGGTAGCTCATTGTGAGCTCTTTGAACTTCGTAATAACCAGTGCTTTGAATTCAATATCTGAAGGTTGATTAGCCTCTATTTCATCTAACATTGTTTCTGAAGTTTCTGTTTTTTCTTTCATTTGATTATTTCTTTGTCTTCCCATTGTTTGAAACTCTTCTTGTTAGTCTCAGCTTCTAAAATTGATCTATTCTGACTCCCTGGGTTTATGGTGTGAAATTCTGTGGTGTAATACCTGTGGATTTCAGTGGTACAGGCTCCTTCAGGTATCTTGATGTTCTCTGTCTCCACCTACTCTCGTACTGGTCCTTGAGCTGGTCCCTGTGCTGGTCGCCTACCACTGCTGAGCGTCTGGGCTCCCGTAGCCGACTCCTCTGGCAGCCCGGGCCCGTCACAGGGGCTGCACTCCTGTAGCTGGCTCCCCAGCGCACAGGCCTGTTGCTATGGCTGCGGCACAGGGGCCTGTAGTGTCCCGGCACTGTACCTGACTCCCCGGCGCCCAGTTCCTTCGCTATGGCAGTGGCACAGGGACCGCGTGTGTCCCGGCTCCCCAGTAGCTTACTCTTCCGAGGTCTGGTGTTTCAGTGTCGGTCACAGTCTCTGGTCTTTTAATTTCATAAATGCTGGGTAACCGATGGTTTATTGTGCTGTTTCTGTATAGATCAGCCAGGATTTTCACCCATGAGTACAGGAGCTAGAATCTGCTCCTCCTACTGTGTCGCCATCTTCCCAGCATCCTCTGAATACGTTTTTCTTATTTCCAACCACCCAGTTTGTAATACCTTGAAACTAAAACAGCTGCTAATAACAGAAATGGAGAAAAAAAATAAAGAAACCCATAGGTTGTTTTTTTCTTAAATAAAGAAGCCCAGAGGTAGGCATTCTGAGCAGGTATCACAGCCCCAAGATGGGCCCAGTGCCCCAGGCTCCTTCTGGCCTTCTGCCCACGTTCCTGAAGCTGTGTCCTTCATCTGCATGTTCGCAAGATGATTTGTCAAGCTCCTGCCAGCACTGAGGCAGCAAAAGTGGGGACAGTGCAGGCCCAGAAGGTGCAAACTGAGTCAGTCCCATATGAGGACCTTCCCAGTAGCTTTATACAGGGACTTCTCTTACACCTCATTGGCCAGAGCTGTGTCACATGACCAACCTTGGTTGAAAGGGAAGGTGTGCACAGTGCTGCCCTGAGTAGAATCTGGGACATGTTGGTGAGGAAGGTGTGGAGGGTGGAGTTTTGGCAGCCCACCAGCAACCCTGCCACTTCTTTAGACCCAAGAGACTGTGCAGTCATGAGGATCTAGGCTCGTTGGCAGCTCATGCCCTTATCAAACGAGCACATGGGAAGAGTGGCCATTAGAATGGGGAGCATTAGCCTCTAATGAAAGAAGAGCCTTATTCCGTTCTCCCAGTACACTCATACCTTCTGCCTTCTCCACCCCTCCCCTCTCAGCCTGCCCCTGCAGGCATCAGCACCGGGTTGGCTCACAGCAAACAGGGCACCCACTCAAGGGAGGACACGGCTTCTCTGTTCATGGGATTGTTAGGCAACATGGCCAGTGTGGATTTGGAAGATCTCAGGTGGACACTTGACACTTCTGTGGTGGAATAATAAATGAACATACCTCAACTCGGGTGTGTAGAAATCTTGTTCGGAAGTTCCCTTCCCACCGATGTCAGTCCAAGGCTTAAACTTGCCAATTAAAGACTACTCATTTTCTTACAGGTTAACCACCCCATCCAAACAAATGCCCACAGAGCCTCTCTGTCTCTTCTCCTTGCTGGGTTGGTGTCAAGATTCCAGGGTGGTGTTTGAGGAAGGCCTCTGAGTGCTTCTGGGTCCTTGCTGACCTCTAAGGAGAGCTCTACTCCTGCATACTTCTGGGCCTTTGTCCGCACTGGAGCCACATGCTGCCCCATAGACCTGTAGCCTATGACCCTAAATGCCTGTGGTCCTAGCTGCTGACTCTGGGCCCCACCATTACACTGGGGGCAGGAGCTAAGCAATTCAGCCAAATGCTTTGGCTTCCATGGCAGACTGTCCAAGGGGCAGGCAGGAGATACCACGTGTGGTTGCTTCAGATTTCCCCTTTTCCTGGCCCCCTGGCTCTCCGGGTATGTCTCCAAAGGCCTCCCTTCCTTTAGTTCCTCGGACCCAGGAAGGCCCCCATGCCTCCTACAGACATGCTAGTGTTTCTGTATCCACTAGGTGAGCTTCCTTCCAGGGGCTGGAAGCTGACACAGCAGGCACTGGGAAATCCGTCCCACCTCCAGCCCAAGGGGCAGAACCTACTGCTTTACCAAACTGTCCAGCTGCTATGCGCCCTACTGACTCCAGCAGAGCCTGGACTGAGAACACAGCAGTCAGAAAGTAGAAGTAACCCTTCTCTGTCCACTAAAAGACCTATACAACTGTTTCTTGTTAATTCTCTGCAGTTGTCATTAATGTCTTGTTGAGTGGATGTTGTGTGTGTGTGTGTTTTATTGAGAGAGAACAAATTGTCACAGGCTTTTACAAAAACCAAAAACATTCGCTCTCTAATTATATCTATTATTCCTTCCCCATTCATCTTGCTCTCTTGTTTCGGAGCAGGCCTTTCTATTAGTCAGAAACAACAGTCACATTTTCTGAATAAATAAAAGCTGCTGTTTTTCTGCTCAGTCTCTACGAGGACTTGTCAGCACGGTGTACAGACTTGCACTCAGTGAGGATTCTAAGAAATTTTCGAGCTGGACTCACAATCGATGGCATCAGTCCTTCCCTTGCCCCTTACTGGAAATGCTATTTGGAAATACTTAGGGTAGGAGTGTTTTGAAATGCAAGTTCCAGGAGTGTTTTTCCATGTTTGTTCATTCAGTCAGTCAGTCAATAAACACTCATTATGTACTTGAAAGGCACCAGGAATTACTCTAAAGGCTGGAAGCTTATGTCCTATTGGGGCAGAGGGACAACAAACTGGCAAATGCACCTGATAATGTCAGATGGTCACAAGTGCTTATTATCAATACAGTAGAAGAGAGGACTCAGTAGAGACTAGAGGGTGACTTGGGCTACTTTAGTTTGGTGGGCAGGAAGACTGCTCGGAGGAGGCAGCGCTGGGAACAGTGAATTGAGCAAGGAGGAGGAGCCAGCCTGCATGGGTCCGGGAGCATGGCCTCCAGGCCAGGGGAGCAGTGTGCTGGCCCTGCCGCTCCCACTGGCAGCAGAAAGCGAGCAGGAGTGATACACAGCTCTGGTGGCCCCTGGGGCACACATGGCATTAAGGGGGCCAGAGAAGACAGTGGGACAACTTCAAGAGTGCATGACGAAGAATGTGGGCTATAAGATCTTACAGATGGGGCGTTTTTTAAGGGCACAAAAAATAAGAAAGCAGATGTTAATGGACAGTGAGCCTTTTTGTTAGAGTGATTCTCAAATTGGCACGAGTATCAGTATCTTTTGTAAAGTGTGTTTTAGTTGCCACGTGTGTGCACATACACACACACACACATTCTGCGTAGCCCCAGGGGAGAGGGCTCTTGCTCCTCCCTCTGAGCTGTCCTGAGAATCCTGCCTCCAGAGGCACCTCACCAATAGGGCTGTGAGCATCCACAGGCGGTGGGAGGAGGGGGAGGCTGAGGACCACGGAGTGTGGAACCTGTCGGCGGGCAGCTTGGTGTGACTCTGAGCACGGTGGGTGGGCAGAGCTGGCCGGGCAGATCCCTCAGATCAGGTCAGGTCAGGAGGACGTCTCAGGTTCGGAAACCAGTCCTGTGAAGGCCCTGGGCCGAGTGGTGCTGACTCCATCGGTGTCGCTGCCTGATGGCAGCCTGGAGTGCCACAAGTTCATCCTTCTGTGTTCACCACTCTCTGAACTCACACTATGCTTCACTGTTTCAGTCCTTATAGACGGTGTCTCTGGTAGTTTCAGTCACCTGGGAGGAGCTGGTCTTTAGAGAGTAAGGCAAACTAGCTTCACAGAACTGGGAGGCAGTGTGGGAGGGAGGCCCAGGCTGAACCCTTCCTCCTGGGGGTTGCCCGAGGGCCCCAGGCTGTTCCCCACGTGGTAGGTCAGCGAGAGTTGCCTGGTGTCTCTGTGGAAGTGAAGACACATGTGTCATTACAAGAACGCATTGTGTGATGCTGGCGGGAAGGCCGTGCACAGCCAGCTCGGCACTCCCCCTGCTGCACCCAGCACCTGCCCCATCTGCGGTTCGGCAGAGCATCCTTGGTGGGAATAGTTGCTGTGAAATTTGGCAGAAAAGTTCCCAAGATTGTCTGAAGTTACAGCGCGGCAGCAGATAAGTCATACTCATAGTTAGTTATAAAATGTCATTCTTCTGTTTTCAGTAAACATTCAAGATGTGATATTACAAGAAAATTTGGAAAAAGAAGATCAAATTCTGGTTTCCCTGGCAGGGTTGAAACAGGTATGTCCCTTGATCTGACCGTGTGTCCCACCGGCCCTTTGTGCCCCCTGGGGAGGGCACCCTAGGGCAAGGACGACCGTGACATTAGAGCCAAAGCCCCTTAGCCCCTCAGACAGGGCCCCTGCGGACCCCCCCTCCTTGTGCCCTCGCTGTCTCTGGTGAGCATGTCGGACTGGCCTGCAGCCCAGACTGGTTCTCCACTTCCCACCTGCTCCTTCCTCTCACCACGCCTGGTCTGCTCGATCCTCACCCGCAGCCGCTACGGTGTGGTCCAGCATCACGTTCAGTCACCTCCACAGACACCGCCATCCTTGGAGTACACGTCGTGAACACTGCCTGCCACAGGCCCCAGGCCCTCAAGGGCCACATTGCAGTGACCCTTGTGCCCTTTAAAGGGTGGCTTGGAACAGGAATGTTAGCGAGAACAGCATGCTGCTCTCAAGTGTCTGCATGTGGTACTAGCAGCTCAGCTGGGGTGCGGCGCTTTAGGAGCCGTTCATGGGCCATTCAGGGGCTGGCTGTGCAGGCAAACAGTGCTTCTGGCCTTCACGGCCAAGGACGTGACTCCCGTGTCTGACCCTGTGAGAACCTGGCCCCTGAGACTTAAAATTTTCCTTGGTCATTAGTAAGTCAATGGCATTTATCAATAGAGTTGGATTTTTCTCTGCTATTTCTTTCTTATGCTAATACATTGATACCTATACTATTAAAAATTGTGAATGGCAAGTCTCGCTTAAATATATCAGAGTTTTAGCTAGCATTTAAAAACAAACTCATTTATCTTTTTCATTTATTTTCTTTTTCCTTGAAAATAGATCAAAGACATTCTAAAAGGCTCCCTGCGTTTCAACCAGAGCCAGCTGGAAGCCGAGGAGAACGAGCAGATCACCATCTCCGATGACCACTACTGCTCCAGCGGCCAGGGCCAGGACCAGGGCCAGGACCAGGGCCAGGGCCAGGGCCAGGGCCAAGGCCAAGGCCAGGGCCAAGGCCAGGGCCAGGGCCAGGGCCGGGATGGCCAGATGCCTGGGGCCACCACGCAGGTACATGAGCTCTGATGAGCAGTGTCACTGATGGGGACACAGCCACATAAGTTCCTCAAAGTCATGAATAACAACATCCTCCTCAGGTCACTTCAGATTATTACTGTGTGTGAACTTCAGCTGTAAAACACCCCCAGGGCAGGCCCATTCAGTGCTAATTACTAGGCTAGTGTCTCCTGGAGTCGTGTGCTGCACGCCCTCCACACCAGTATGCAGCAACTCTGGCCCGAACTTCCTGCCCACCCCACTGTATGGTGTGAGGAAGGCAGACCCCTGCCGCCGCCACTGGTCTGTTGGCTGCAGCCGATGCCTCCTTTCCCCTTTAGCACGGGAAGTACTGTCCGCGCTCTGCTAATGTGGGTGTAGCTCACTTGGCTGGAACCTTTTTTGCCTTTGTTGGGAAGAACTTCTCATTAATGTCCATCCTCGGAGGCAGAGAGATCAGCAAACTTTTTCTGTAAAGGGTCAGATCATAATCTCTTAGGAATAGCAGGCCACAGATGGTCTGTGTCATCTAGTTGTTGTTGTATCTGGTGTGTTGGTTTATTTGTGTGTTTGTTGGCTGGTTGGTTTTTACAACTCTTTAAAAATGTATGAGCCATTCACAGCTTGAGAGCCACGCGAGCTGGATTCGGCCCCCGGGCCGTGTGTGCTGGCCGCTGCACCCAGGTCTCAGCATGGGGTATATAACTTGTTCTAACACAAAATCACAGGATTTTGCAGTCAACGAGGAGCAGAGAAATTCCTCATGCCCTTAGTCCTGCCTGCTCACTTACCAGTGAGAAAACGAAGGCCGAAGAGGCACACAGCTCGCCAGACTGGCTCCTCATCCCCTCGTCCCCTCGTCCCAGCACACGCACTCCTACGCCTGCACGTCACCGGGCATTGTCTGATGGGACTGCAAGTCCCAATAATGATTTTTTGAATGGCTTGCAAAGTTTCATCTTAAAAAATGATCATTAGCACAATCTCATCTAAGTCATTCTCTCAAACACTAGCATCCAGGTACTTGTAAATTATTTTTTACGACTTTTAAAAAGGCAAAATAATTGTTTAAAATGGGTGTTTTTAGTTTTAAGAGTATTCTTTAAGAAGAGTACTCGTCTGTGATCAAGAGTACCGAGTGGTCCAGTTCATGAGCTTTAAAAAGTTGTTTTCATGGAGCATTTTGAGCCACATTTTCAGCCACATGAATCCATTAAAACTGCACGTTTAACTTGATTAATTCCTTCTAACTCTCCCTCCCTGCACAGTTTAATTTTTCAGTTACCATTTATTTACTCAAATGTTGTTGAGCCCCACCCATTTTTAATTGACAAGTTTATTGAAAATTTAGCATGATTCTTTTAGTTGAAGGTGTAAAAATACTACAAAAAGATAGTTAAACACACTAACAAATTTGCTGACTTTAGAACTTCATTGGACTTGCAGTTGTCAGGCCTGGTTTTCGTACTTGTGAGAACCTACCCATTCCCAGCACGGGTGCTCACGGGCCACACGAACAGTGAGCAGGACAACAGTCATGTGAGCGAAGTGTCCCCACGCTGGAGGAAGGAGCTCAAGCTGAGGTCCCTACAGCCTTAAGTGCACCCCACAAGCATGCGTGTGGGGGACAGCCCCCCCGCCCGTGTCCCTCCCAGCCTCCCCAGGGGCGGGCGGCATGGCCCTGGTCGGGTGCCCTGTGCAGAGGGCAGTATCGGGGATGAAAAAGGACAGCCTTTCCCTACCAAACTGCCCTAGCGCCATCTGTGACTGTCCGCTCCTGCCAGAGTGTCTCTTCAGATTTGTAGGAATTAATGTGTTGAATCAAGAGCCTTAAGGCCTGTTTCAGTACCAAAGTCTTAAAGGCAAATTCCATTTCAGCCCTCCTGTTCAGTGTTAAGGGTGGACGGACTGTCGGGGTGCCCCCGAGCCATTATTTGCCCACTCACCCCCCGCCAGGCCCCCCAGGAGAACATGAGACCCAGAGGGACACGTCAGCCAGGCCCAGATTTCCTCAGAAGTGCTGCCGGCTTCCTGTCCCAGGCTCTGCCCGCAGCTCAGAGGTCACCTTGGCCACACCAGTCTTGAGGCTGGAGGACCCAGGGGAGCCCTTCCAGCCAAGGGACTCTGTACATCTCATTAGACACAGGCCCCTGCCCCAGTCCCTCCCCACAGTGTGGGGACAGCGGGCAGGCCAGCAGGAGAGCAGGTGTGAGCACCACGCAAGCTCACCTCAGCACGGGGGCGGGTGCTGTTTCTGCCCGGCTGGTACTGGAACATCTTTGCTTAGACTGTGGCTTTACTCCCATCCCAGGGGAGGCAGCAGTGCCTCTGGTCTTAACTCAGAACCTTTGCTGATATTCATGAATGTCAGCTTTAGTTAAAAAACTAAGCACTAGCCATAATTGCTTAGACAGGAGGGAAATAATTGTGAGGCAATTCCATTGCTATGCTTTTTGGCATATACTTTGCAGTCTCCATTCCTGGTTTACATGTTTGGAGAAACTGCCAGTTAACCACCACTGTCCCCCAAGTGCATACCCAGGATGAGGGAGCCCTGAGATCTGGAGGAGAGGAAGTACGTGCCCCCCCGCCCATGCTCTCCTCTGAGCGAGTGGGAAACTCTCTCCAGATCTGGGGCTCACATTAGAGAGTCAGTCCTCTGCGACTCATGTCCACGCACACCATCTCTGCATGGTGGCCGCACACTAGGACCAAGATGCTGTCCTGTCCCCATTTCACAAATGAGGGGATTGAAGCCCCAGGAGGAGAGTGATTTGCACAGCAGGGTGCCACCTCAAGCTGGGAGGCTGCTGCCTGGCTCCTGAGCCTGCCTCTCCCAACAAGTTATCGCGCAGGTTTCCTTTGTTCCCCTGGGGAACCAGCATTCAGCTTCCAAGGTGCCGGCCCTGCCCCACTGGGAAGCACCCGGGCTGGGAAGCACCCGGGCTGGGAAGCACCCGGGCTGGGAAGCAGGCAGAACACAGCGTCTTTCCACAGAAGACCATAGGGCAAGGCAGCCTGGTTTTTCATGGAGCGCTCCCCACTGTCTGGGCCTCCACTCAGCTCTCTCCTTTTTCTGGTGTGTTTTCTCAGCCCCTGAACTTCTGACTGTACTTCACAGGCCTCATCAGAAGCACCAGGGCACGCAGACAGAGGGAGCGCAGACGACTTCATCCTGGTTTCCAAAGAAGATGAGGGAGGCGGCGCCAGGGCATCCTTCTCCAGCCAGGCCCAGCCTCTTCGCACGCTCAGAAGCATGTCTGGGAAAGGTGAGGCCCTGGCCTGCTCCCCACTGGTTTTCTCTGACCCCCTGATGGGCCCAGCCTCCGCGTCCTCCAGCAACCCCAGCTCCAGCCCCGATGATGACAGCAGTAGCAACAGTAAGGACTCCGGCTTCACCATCGTGAGCCACCTGGACATCTGACCACAGTGTCCAGGACGCCCACCCCCCAGCAGCCTCTGCGCCCCACTGAGGCTCCCCGCAGTGGAGACCCCTCTGAAACCAGCGCTGCTTTCCCAGCATGCACGTGGCACCAGAAGGGCCCACAGAACCCTTTAGAGAAAAGCAGACGGCCACCAGGCGCACAGACTGCTGGTCACCGAAGTGCAGACAGGCTTTCCGGCCCCCCCCTAACCTGCCGCACCCTCACTCCGAGGTGCCCAGGACCACGCCTCCAGGAAAGCCGAACCCCCGTTCCAGCGACTTGTCCTCTGTCCTCTGCTCCCCAGCTGGGAAGGTGTGGCAGCACCAGCAGTGTTACCTAGGAGAAGAAAGAAGAGTTGGCTTCAGATCTTCCTCCTCAGAGCATCAGGCACAGGGACACTGATCTCCAGAACACTCTCTGGAGATCTGAGTGCCATCCCGTGTCATTTCTCCCTTGGGAAGTCGCAGGGCAAAGCCACATGCCGTGGAAAGGACCGGTGGGTTCAGGGCTGGGAACAAACCATTCATTACTGACCTCCCATAAAGTTACATGATCCTCTGACGCGGCTCTGCACTTAGGGCTCATTCGGGTGTGATGGGGTTGAGACTCCTCATTCGTATTTATAAATACATTTCCAAGCCTCTGGCCAGATCACTCTGCTTATCACTGCCCCCCTTAAACAATCACATTTCACCTTTTAGCATCTCGCACGCCGGAGAACAAGGTCCCTTTAAGCAGACCTTGCTTGCCCTGGGGAGCCTGGTTCTTTGGGCTTCTCCTGTGTGGACAGCGAGGCCTCTGGGCAGTGACACAGGCACTAAACAGCTGCCTGTGGGAGGGCGGGCGCTGTCGCATCCCTGCCACCGCTCACTGTGACTTCTCTGCAGACAAAAGTGGTGTCCGGCCTCCCACTTCTCCAAGAAAATGGTGAGGACTCGAGAGAGGATTCTGGTCAGCTCTGCAGTTCGTTCTTAAAACTCCAGCGAGGAAATCCCCCAACACACGAGCTTGTGGGATGAGGACAGTCCCGTGCATGTGGAGGTGTGCACATTAGCTCCAGCTCCTGGCGCTGAGTGGTGGGCCACATGTATGTCCCATCAATGGTACTTCATAAGCTCCCAAGGTCCCCGGAGTGAGTGGCCTTGCAGCTGCACAGTTGTCATTATTTTCTCTCAAAAGCTTGGGAAGGTGCCAGTGTCTTCAGTTCTGGAAGTGGGGAGGTGTCCTCGCGGGGCTGCAGGACAGACCGGGCAGGGCCATGGAGCTGGCTGTCTCCTGGCGGCTGAGACACCGTCGTCTGCTCGCTTTCAGCATCGCTTTGCCCTGAGAGCTGGAGTCAGGGCAGCAGAGTGTCCCTGGCCCCACGGTGGCCACCAGACACCTGCCACACCGACACGCTCTGGACTCCTTCCCCACCTAAGGGTCACTGCGACCTCCCAGCCCTGCCCACACTCCGGGGTAGGTCCTCCGTTCTGTGCTTCCGAGTTGGTGCCACCTGGAACCAGTGGGTCACTCAGAGGTGTTGCTTCTGTGGCCCCCACATGCTGCCCACCCCTCCGAGGGGAGACACCCACGGCGGGTGGGTGCAGACACAGCGCCCTCAATCCCCATGTTTGTGGGGTGCGAGAATGGAACCACTGTCTCACCTAAGTGAGTGACGTGTTTTTATTTTTTATAATAGAGCATTGTTTGCATTTTTATTAGTTACAGTGCTATTAAAGAATTTATGTTGCTTTTTATTACTCTATCGGGTACTTATGTTTAATGGCACATTTTTTAAATGCTGAATATTTGAAACCTTTTCGTTTTTCTTCAAAAATGTGGTAATCATTGGAACCTCTTGTGCTTTGATTATTAGCAGGTAAAGTTTATATATATAAAGCTTAGGTTAATTTTCATTATCTCCTCCTTTTATACTTATCCCTGTGTTCATGCATTCCTCTCCGATCAGTTTGGAAGTTTGAGTTGTATGTGTACATTACATATGAGAGATACAGATTAGAGAAAAAATCATTATGACTCTGCCTTACCTTGCGTGTATGCCAAGGGGCCATATAAAACTTGAAAACATTTCATTACATGGGTAACTCTTCCACAGATGACCTCCTGCTAACGTTCACTGCTAACTGCAGTCCGTTAAGAAAAACTGTCACTTTGGAGTGAATGTGACTAACAGTAAACCAGGACCTCCGTCATTTGCCTGCCCTGCATATGACTGAGCTGATTCTTGTCATCCTTCCTTCGAGGGTTTGATTGTTCGCCATTACCAAGGACGAGATGGCAAATGATTAGAAAATTCTGTGACAGTTCTGGTGTCTCCTAATGACAACCTGCCACAGCTGACCCAAACTTATTCTTTTTATTTCTATTTTACTGTTTCTTTAAGAAGCTGCCCCCAGGGGTCATTACCGAACCAGAGTGGATGGAGGACTTCCTCCTGCCACTGGGGGCGGCTGTCCTGTGGAGCCCACCACGAGGACCCACCACCCCTGCTCCCCCGCAGATGTGCCCCCGGCCCAGCCCCTGTGTGCAGAGCAGGGCCCGGTGAGGCCGTGGGGCGGGAGAGGCCGGGAGGAGTTGAGGGCAGAAACTAGCACCCAAGGCTTCCTTGTCTCAGGCCAAAACCGCTTCCTCGGCGCTCCCTTCAGAGGCTCTCCTTTCATAGTGTTAAACACACACAGAGTTCCTATACGCGGGCTTGAGACCACTTTGATGTAAAAGTTGCCATAATAATTTTTCTCACAATGGCGCAATTCACTTGATTTATGGAATACTCGTCTTGCCATTTATATCTATCGCTTTTTTCTCATTCATCTTGATGCTGTAACTCATATTGATTTAAGAACTGACTTTCCTCTTGGCAAAGCGATCCCATTCAGTACGATTATAATAAAAGACTAATGTGAAACTGAGAATGTAGCTTGACTTGTTCCAGGCAGGGGGTGGGGGCACAAGGAGCCGGCCTGGCCTCACCCGAGGGGCGTGGGCTGTGCACCGCCAGGCAGGGCAGCACCCGCACCCCCACACGGGCAGCGGGGGCCCGGGCCTGACTCTGGCCCACCCCAACTCTGCCAACCCCTTCCTCTCTAGCTTAGGCAAGTTGTTTAATGTCGGGCAGCACTTTCTTTACCTGCAATGGGGCGCTAATCACTTACCTTACTGGGTGTGCCGAGGATTAAACAGGGCAGCACATTTAAAGCACTGCGACCGGCCTGACACTCAGTGACGTATAGAACAGAACCACAGAGGACACTCAGTTCTCAAAGAGCCACTGGAGGCCGTGTGCTCCCACCTCTCCCATCAATGTCAGATCCCAAGGCCATTTAGAGGGTGGCCCCAACAGCTTGCTGCCTCCTCCGCACTGTCCTATCAGCCTCCAGTTTGCCCTGGGAGCCTGGCTGACCCCTAGCTAACGTGGAAATTGGCGAAGAGGCTGCGGGGTTGGGAGAGTATGCACTCCAAGTCGTAAGTGACATGCGGGGAAGGTAGGGGGTCTTCATGGTTTAGGTAGAGCGTGAAGCCAGTGGCTCCTTAGGCAGAATCTGTGCTTGATTGAGCTCATCCCTCACACGCCTCTGTCCTAGGCCCAGCCAACAGGTGCTTGCCCTTCCGTGGGTCACACCCGTCCCCCACCCCCACCAAGGGACTTTATTGTCCACAGGTTCTGCCACCAAAAGATAGAGCTTGCACACTTCTCAGATGGCCCATGCCCCTCGCCTGTAGGCCTCGTGAAGACCCCTTCTGTGCTGCTGGACCTTCCTCCTACCCTACCTGAACTGTTACCTGAGTGCTGTTTCCAGGCCCCAGAAAGATGCTCCAGGGCCTGTGGAAACTTCAAAGGAATCAAATCTCTGGGGGCAGCTCTCAACCGAAGGCTGAGCAGAGGCCAGTGTGGGCAGCTTCCCTGCCAGGCTGGGTCCAGTCACTGGCCGCCTTCCCGCTCCTGCCTTCCCTCTCCTGCTCCACCGCTGCGGTGTCCTCTGCCCACACAAGCGGCCACACTGGCATCTTCTGTCAGGGCTGGAACTCACACCTACACACCTTCCCGGGGCCCCTTCAGGCCGATGCTGTGTCCCTGGCTCACCCTCAGCCCGGGTTTGGGTGAGTGGGTGGAGGGTGCAGGCTGTCAGGCCATCACAGACGAGGGCCGTGCTGAGAGGCACCCTCCCTGGCTTCTCTGGTCAGCAGGGGGGCCACGTCACCAGCCCCACCCAGGCCAGCCCTCCCTGAGCCAGTTCTGGTTCCCGGGTCCACCGAGCTGGCAGCTCCTACAAGCGAGTGTTGCCCCGCTGACCATGCTGTTAGAGGAGCCGTGGGCAACTTCGTTTTCACCTGGTGACTTGCCTCAGTGACAGCCGATGTCCTCAGCCCTCTAAGGGTGTATGTGTCACCAGAATTTCTGCACTCCGAGATGCACGGTGGGTCCTGGGAGGGGGTGGTTTTCAGGGAAAGGCGGATGGCCCTGGAAACACGTATGGATGACTTACTGACCCAGAGAATTCACTCAGTATTTGTTCGCCTGTTCCTTCAGCTGACTCAACTGAACCCCCTCAAAGTGTGAGGCTGCACAGGTGCTGGGGACACACAAATGCCTCTCAGTTCGCCAGGAAAGGGTGGCAGGAGTGCTGACAAAGGTTTACGTTCCAAGGGAACCCAGACGAAGTCCCAGCTGGGGTGGCTCCAGAAGGCTCAGGGGAGACTGGCGAGCAGGACCCAGGGCAAGTCCCCCAGGTGTCCCTCGTGGTGAAGCGAGGACCCGCCTCCACTTCCCACTCCGTAAATGCAGCCCAGCCATTCACATTCTTCCCCGGGCATGTGTGGTAGGGGCTGGCCCCTCACTAAGGACCGGATGCTGTCCCATCATCCAGTTCTAGCCAGGAAGTACACCCAGCGGCAGGCGGGGGGACCCCCAAAGGATTCCCAGGGCCTGACCTCATCCTGGCAGTAGCCCAGAAAGCAGCAGGGACCCTCCCAAGTCTCAGACTCGGCAATGAAGGGGTGTGTCATGAGGTGTAACTGAAGGGGTGAAAAGGCCGCAGTGGATGTCACTTCCCTGGGGGCAGGACCAGGGGAGGGACGGCCAGCAACGGCCGCGCCGTAAGGAAGGGAGCACCGCCCACAGCCCCCCCACAACGGCACCCTTGGCCCTCGGCACCGGTACCCCCCGCTCCCGCCCCCTCAGCTCTGGCCCCGGTCCTGCGTTCATCCTGCCATCCAGTCCATCCCACAGCTCGGTCCGGCCTCTCCCCCACGGCCCACCGCAGCAGAGGCCTCGGCCCCACTTGGGCCTGGCTGGTGGCCTCGCTCCTCTGACCGTCCATCTCACCACCTCACCGGGAAGCGGACCAGACCAAGGGTCCTCCTTTGAGCCCTCGAGATGAGGAGTCGCTCCCTGGACCACACCCCCCCACCCCACAGGGCTCCGCTCCAGCCCCACCGGTCTCCCTCCTGCTAGCCCCTGTCCTAACTCCAAGCGCCACCCCTGCTGTTTCCTCTGTCCATTAAAACCCCTGCCGTTGCTCTCCAGCTCACACAGGTGAACGCCACCGGCAGGGGCCCACGTCTCTGGTGAGGCTCCGCCAGCCCGCTCTTGGCCATGGCACTGCTTTCTGGAGGTCCTGCTGTTCCATTTCACTTTGCCCACTGGGCCCTTTACCGTGGTGGCCTTTCAAATTATCCAAAACTTGGCGGCATGAAACCACTTAACATGCTCATGGGTTGTGTGTGTCAGAAGGACAGATAGAACACGTCTGGGGGCTCAGACGGAAGACTCAAACACTGGAGGCTGGAATCCTCTGGAAGTGGGTCGTGTAGATTTCTGACGGCGGATGCCGAGACCTTACCTTGGGCTGTCAGCTGGATCACCTTCAGGTGGCTTCCCATGTGGTCTGGGCTTCCTTGCAGGATCACGCCTGGGTCCCAGGAGCGAGCGCCAAGGGAAACACATTGAGAATGGAAGTGTTGCCACTTTTGGAGAAGACGGTCTGCCATGTCCATTGACTGGAGGCTTCTTCGGGGCAGCCAGACGAGGCTCCACCCTGCTGGGGCACACGGAGGCTGCTCCGGCCATGCACCTCGCAGGTGCCGTCCAAACCGTACAGTTTGCAGCTTCTCGCTCTTCTCCTCCAGGAAGCCGTCTCTTTGATGCTTCTCCCATCAAGAGCCCCTTGAATGTTGCATCTGTGACCTCCTAACCGGTAAGATACGGAGGACATGATGAAGTGCCAGTTTCTGGGCCCACAGCTTTAAAAAGACAGGCAGCTTCTACTCCCTGTCTCTGGTGCACTCACTCTGGGAACCCAGTCACCTGCTGGAAGGAAGCCCGAGCAGCTCAGTGGAGAGGCCCATGTGCAACCCACAGCCGGGGCCAACTGAGAGTGAGCCACCTCGGAAGGGCATCCTTCGGCCCCAGGTGACACTGTGTAGAGCTGAGACAGGTGCACCTGACGAACCCTTCCCTAGTCACAGAACTGAAAGCAAATGAAATGACTGTGTTGTGTTAAGCCACCGAGTTTTGGGTCGAATAGTGATACGGGCGTGGACAACTTTTTCTGACCAGCAGGACTCGTCTCCTCTCAATTCCCTCATCTAGGTACGGAATTTGCATGTCCCCGTTTGAAAAGATGGGCTGCACTTGGCTCTTCATTCACCCATATTTACTGAGCACTCACTATGTTCTAGAGGCCGAATACATGCAGTGAACACGACAGCTCCCTGTCTTCAGGGAGCTGCGGCTGGGTGGGGGGAAAGGTTAACTTCCTCACCCCACACACTGCGCTTGTACATGGAGGAAGGAGATAATTTCAGATGACAGTGACGTGACAGAGACTCTTCAGGAAATCCAGTTCCCTCTCCTTCTGGGCCGGGGCACAGCTGGACCACATTTCCCATACTCCCTTGCAGTGACGGACCTCAGACCCCTGGAACGTGAGTGGTGCCCTAACAGCAGTGTGTGGAGGGGCAGGAGATAAGCAGATGACCCCAGGAGCCCAGAATGCTGGGAGGGGGTTGGGGACACTGGGAAACCCCCTTACCTCCCCAGATCTTTGAAGCCCAGTTTGTCTGAGATTTTTTTCCTAGGCCTCTGGTTCATTATTCCCTCTGTTCATCCCCATGAACAAGGGAAAAAGCCAGAGCCAGCCAGACAGATCAAGGAGAGATGGAAGCCCGTGTCCTCACTCAGGGGAGATTTAGAGCCTATGAACACCAGTGCCCTGTGCCCTGCCTGTCTGACTCCACCCTCAGGATGCCAGGGCTGCAGCCCACTCTCAGCCAATGACGGGGGACTGTGAGCACGACAATGTAAGCTCTGTGAGCCTCCGTTTGCTCAGGTATAACATTCGGGGAGGGAGGGGAAATGCCAGGCTTGGCCACCTCACAGGGGTGAAGTCAAGTAGACTCAAGTCCATTAAATGCCCTCCTCCACCTGCATTATTAACATACTCACAATAACCCCAGGAGGAAATAACAGAGAAGGTACAAGCCTTGCACTCACTTGTTCAATGTGGGCAAGCAGCTAGCTGCCTGTGGCCCTGCCCTCTCAGTTGCCCCCTCCCCTGCAGCTGACCAGCAGCCTGGAGCACCTGGAGGGTGGTGAGCTCGGCCCCTCTGTGGGACCAAGGCCAGCATGAACACAGCAGACTCCGTGTGTTTCCATTACCGATGCTCCCACGCCCTCCCCCCGCCCGTCATCAGCATTGGCACCAGGGCCCAAGTTCCCAGTGTGGCAGCACACAGAGGGGCGGCTCCCGGGCGTGTGTTCCTGTGTGCGTGCGGCTCACCAAGGGCTCCGATGGCGGGGGGAGGCCACCGCTGGGTTCTCAGAATCCAGCGCCTCAGAGAATTCAGAGAAACTCAGACTTTCAGAGAAAGTCTGTCGGTGTGCTGCAGAGATGTTAACCACAGGGCC